TTAATATGATTGAGAAAAGGGCCCCAGATTTCGACAAACTTAAAATGGGTGTCAGCCAAACGATAACGAACCATTCTCATTTGCTTTTAAGAAGACTTCTTCTGTCCATTGTTGAACGTTTTGCTAACTAATCATCACTAGATCAGCAGCACAAACACTGTTCAGTTCAGTTTGTTGAACCATGAGCTCAGATGCTGATATTAGGTTGGACATACCTGTCCTTTCCCCCCCCCTTATTACTAAATATTCAGCAGTCAATTGTTAGTGGTATTATAACACACTGGATGTCAACAACTCAGCCACAGCAGGGTCAGTGGATGCTGAGGTGCATAGTCTGCAGAGGTTGCCAACTTTCTGCAGAGTCAATCACTACAGACCTCCAAACTTAGCTTCTGAACAGTGCACAGAGAGCCTCATGGAATGGGTTTTCATGGCCAATCATCTGCATCCAAGCCTTGAATCACCAATGCAGTTGGATGCAGAAGTGGACACATGTTCTCTGGAGTGAGTAATGATGCTTCTTTGACTGGAAAGCTGATAGATGAGTCTGGGTTTGACAGTTGCTGAGAGAAAGGCGCATGTCTAACTGCACTGTGCCAAGTGTAACGTTTGGTGGAGAGGTGATTATGGTCTGGTGTCATTTTTAGTGAGTTGAGCTCAGGCCATTAGTTCCTGTGAAACCAGCTATTAACGCTTCATGCGCCTCACTTTGTGGGAACAGTTTGGTGATGGCCTCTTCCTGTTCCAGTGACCACCATTGCACAAAGCAAGGTCATAAAGATCACAGGGATGACCGAGTCTGTAGTGGAAGAACTGCAGAGTCCCCTCCTCAACCCGACAGCACATCTTTGAGATAAATTAGGGCTGGAGAGTGCAAGTCAGGTCATCCAGTGTCTGAGCTCACAAAACGTGCTTCTGGAAGAATGGTCAAATATTTCCATAAACACACACACTAATCCTCGTGGGAAACCTTCCTAGAAGGGTTCAAGCTACAAAAGGTGGACCAACATCATATGAAACCCTGTTGGTTAAGAATGGGATGTCACTCAAGCTCAAACGCGTTTGAAGGAAAACAAGCGAATACGTTTGGCAACATGGTGAATGTAGAAAAATCGTTTTACATATAAATACAGATACTGATGTTTGATGAATTTTACCTAAAACTGTGCTGTGATGGAGATGATATTGTGTGGCAGAAATTACGTGTGTCAAACGACTGTGTTAAACAGTGTACTCTTTTATCATTCCAGGCAAAAAGTAATATCAGTTTGAAATTAGCTTACCTAGAGTTAAACCATTAGTACATAAAATCAGATAAAAGCAGATCCTACAAGCCAAGTGAAAAGCAGTAA